TCCCCAAACAGCTGTCCTTCCTGATATATTGCCATTTAAAGATCGTTGACCTACATAAAAGACAGATCTAACGCAACCACACGCGGCTGTCCCAACCCACATCAATGGCCATACGGTCGTTGACCTACATACAAGACAACACCAAAAGAACAAAAAAAACAACAATATAACAGTTACTTCTTTTCCACATTCCTATAAAACAAAAGAGTTCAAACTTACACCACTAAATCTATATTACAATACATTTACACCATACAAAAATCTAGACTAATGCCACATCGGTACTTGAACTACAAACAAATAAAGAAATAAACACAAAAGGTCTATTAAGGGGACAGATCGACCTCCACGACTCTCATCTTTGAACTTAATCTTGGTAACCATCACAATAACATGCCAACCAAATTTCATTAACTTTCATCCACATATACAGAAGTTATCCTGCTCACAAGAAAATTAAGGAATTGCCCCCTGTAGTGACAATGAAACCCCTCACGAAGCTCATTAACGAACTTAACCTTGGTAACGACAATAGTAACGTCCACACCAAAATTTAGAATCAACATTTTACAAATACTTGAGTTATTTTGCTAACAAGCCACGAACACAAAAGGTGCACCTACGTGACGCACGGACCCCCGAAGAAGCCCAAACTTGTACGTGACTTCAGCCTCAACAACGGTAATCTGCCTGCCAAAAATCATTGACGTCGAATCATGCCTGCCAGAGTTATATCGCAAAATCCGCAGTTCCCCACACTGCGGCGAGACAATTTCATAGTCCTTCTAACGAAGACAATGAATTTGAAGACTAAATCATTCGCCAAACCATACTCTGTGTCATTTGTTCAACCTTCAAAACCACGTAGATTTCATAATGAAAAACTTTTTTGGGGCCAAATTTTTTTTTATTCGCACGCTCGCATCAGTTTTGGGGTTCCCAGAGGATGTCATCCATATAATCAAATCAGCATGGCCTAAGTGGCCACGTCAAATCTCTCGTGAAATCACGAGACATCGGTCTGGCCTTTCTTTGTGGGAGACCTGACAGATTCCATAGGGCGAACGTACGCTCTTTGTGATTGGTGGAATCAGGAAACCTTGACCGTCATCTCTCTCAGAAGTTGATAAAATTCCTCGGTGTCGTCAGAACGTAGAGAGACTTCCACCGGGGTGGCTGCACATCAGAGGCAACAGAAAGCTTCTACTCCGAGAAATCCAGTGATTTTCAACTGCAAGGTACTTGGGCTGCGTTTTCATATATTAATGTGTGCCTTGTACACATGTGTGGTGGGTACAAGCTACATCGAGCCGAGATAGCTTGTATTGTCTCGAAAAAAATCAGTCGGCACTCTACGACTGCCCCTCTAGTCTTTCATACATTTCACTGTAACAGTTGCGTAGAGAATTATAATCGCTTGCCAGACGTCCCTCTCTCTGGATCCATTTTTAACAGCAGCTTTTCCTAGTTAGGTTTATCAGGTTGGTAGAAAATAACCGACATTGGAGTTTTCTTTTATACAGCCAGTAATTTTGATCTCTCACCTAATTACGTTTCTCCAAATGTCTGAAGAAGGTGTCTGAAGCAGGGTTGACACATCTCTGGTTGTGCAAAAGAAAACTCCAATATCCGTATACGTACGTGGGGTCTGTTTTTGAAGGGTCAAGGGCATGAGTAAGACGTATCCAATTCTTTATTTTCAAGAGGATGTCAAGTTGGAGTTGTGTAGTCAAAAGATGGGGCCAAAGTTGCAATCTTCTTAGTGTACAAATCGTTCGTCGGCGAAGGTTAGACATCCAGGTAATAAGACAAGCCAAAAAAAAAACAGTTACTCGAGCAACTGGATATGATTTTGTCGGAACAGCAGGTTCATAAGTACGAACTGCACAAATCTTTCTTTCAAATGTAATGTTCATTGGCATACTTATCAGTGTTGGTTTGTTTGTTTGTTTCCAGGATGGCAGGAAAAACCAAATGGTTGTTGATCATCAAGATCAGCCATCTCTGACGGGCAACGTGTGAAAAGACCTGTCAGAAATGGAGAATCTAACGGATTATCCCGAGTATTACATAGGCTCATCCGAGTCGGACGTTGACTATAATTGGTACGAAGAGCTGTTTGGCGCCGAGGAGACGTTTTCTTTCCATCACAACGACACGACGGAACAGCGCAACCTTCCGGACAGTCTAACCGGAGCGTCGACGGATCCGGACGTTCCGGTCTTCATGAAAGCCATCCTGGGATCAGTCTACACGCTTACTATGATCACGTGCGGCGGGATTAACCTAATCCTGATCTACGTCATCATACAGTACAAGAAGATGCGGAACATGACCAACATGCTGATCGCTAATCTGGCCATGTCGGATTTTCTGATGGCCGTCATCTGCGTGCCGTTTGTGATGGACTACTACATTGTCCAGTCCCGGGTGTGGACACACGGACAGACGGCCTGCGCAGCGGTCAACTACACCAAGACCATGTCCCTGTACGTGTCCACTAACGCACTGTTGGTCATCGCCATTGACAGGTAAGGGCAGTAACGCTTACGCAGTAGAACAGACATAGGACCAGGGTTTGCAGAATTGGGACCATGGTTTACAGAATTGGGACCTGATTTACACAGACCTTTACGTGTACTATAAGGTGTGCGTATAGAATTTCGTGCAGATAAAGTTGCTGTACTTTATATTCTAACAAACTACGTATGTCCAACGCCGTGACAATCCAGATTTGGCAGTGGGATACGCTAATATTTACTACTAACTGTCTTTTTGGCTGCTAAACAAAAATGTGCGTTAATTGGTCTCTTTTAACTACAGCTAACAGCTTTCTTGGCTGTTCTACAAATTTCCTTTGCATTCTTTAAGTCTTTGAGCCAGCTTCAAACGTAAGATCCTTTGATGAAATAGCTAGCCTTTTGGCCGCTATACAAATTTCTAATTTACTTTGTTTTTGAAACAGGTAGAGTTTACCCACGGTTAAATGAACTAACACTCTTTTTGGCAGTTAACCAAATTGTTTGATAGTAATTAGTACTTACAGCTACAACTTTGTGGTTGGGTACGCTTATTTAACTTAAGGCCACACCAATTTTATTTGTGGGTTCTCGAATTTTTTCAGAAAAAATATGTAGTGGCAAGGCGAAAAAAAAGTTAGAAAATAGAGCCAGGCATTCTATGACAGGACTCATAGGAGCCTTGAGGTCTACAAACCAGGCCGGTTTGTAATTCATGTTTGTAATTTATTTACTCAAACCACTGCATTGATAGATGGAAAAACTGTAACAACTCTGGGAAGGGAGCTTCAACTGTTGGGGGAAAATATGTGCATTTTAGAGTTGATTCAGAGCTTGATGTTTGTTTTCAAATCGGAAAAAAGAAGCGAGCGAATCCAAGAACCAATGAATTCGAACCAACTTGGTGTGGCCTAATCGTCATTTTGTCTGGAAGACATTTCTTTGGCATAATATTAATGATGAATCAAAGTAGATTGGTTTTGACACAGCTGTGTGGACTATAGCTAATAACAATATTTTGGGTCCTTGGGCAAAACTAATTGTTTGCGTCGTTTTTCTTAACGAATCGTAGCTTTTAGACACGGCATATGAACTAACAGGTTTCTTGGCCGGCGGTAAACAAACTTTCTTTTGGTCTTTGAACCAAACCCAAATTTCGGACAGTTACATAAAAATATGTTTTGGCCGTCAAACCAAAGGCTTAAGTGTCGTTTTGGCTGCTAGACAACATTTATCTTGTATTATGTCATTGCACCAAAAGCAAAATGACCAGGGACACGGTCGTATGAACTAACGATGTTTTGATCCTTTAAATTAGCCTTTTGGACCAGATGCAATTCCTAGACACGGGTATATCAACTAATCGTCTTTCTGCCTGTTACACAAATTGTCTTTTAAAGTACGTTCAGTCATTGAAGGTTTGACAGAAAGTATATGACTCAACGAATGCTAACAAAATTGATACATATGTATATACCTAGAATACTGATAATGTCTGTAGAGTACAGGCTAGCAGAAGTAGCGCTCTTCCCATATACATGTTTCTTCCGTTATAAAAGAAAGTCGGGGTTTTCCTTATTTCCTCTACTAGACCATGAAACAGATTCCTTCTCGGCGTTGGCCATGTCTGGCTGAGATAAACAGATATACAGTGAAGAAACAATGAAGTTCAAGGTTATTCTATCGTTTCCAGTCCTTTGTCGTCCTCTGATACTGCATTAGTCGGTAACTGTAGAGGTTATCACTGATCGAGTGTAAAGAATTCCGCACGAATCGCCTTATTGTTATGCTAGCAGATAACATGCGTATATCATAGATTTACATCATTTGTCAGTTTGTTCATATCTTAGGCCACAGCAAGTACATTTTATGGATGATATCATCTGCTAACTCCAAATCTGATGCGCTAGGGCGAAAACAAACAAGTCGGACAAAAAAAAGTTCCTATGTGTACTCATATGCGATGGACTTCTCATTGTCAACACTCCCCACCAAACACAAGCAATTGTACCTCACAGGTTTTCTGTAGCCCTTATGGTCTCTGGACCGGTACCGATAGACTTTTACGATATATTTGCTCATTTTCATCATGTTGACCGCTATCGATCGTGTCGACATTTTGTCAGTCGAAAATCAATGCGCGCCTTGATGTCATCACCAAATTACTTGCTGGGGGGAAGCTAGCCCGACTAAGGTTGCTGAAACATTTTTTTTTATCTTTGATATCAGGTACTTGGTGATCTGTCACCCAAGTATCACCCGGCTGACGGGTAAGTGGGCGGCTGGGGTTGTTGCCTTGGCTTGGCTGGCGGCCATCTTGTTCGCGGTGCCTGCCGGGAGATATTCCGTTGTCATCCCGTACCACATAAACGAGCAAGTGTTCTGCGGACAACTCTGGCCAATACACGAAAAAGAGAGGTAAAGGGATTCACGTTGGAACTTGAAAGTACACTTAAGTCGAGGGCTGGGGGTTACTTTTCGATATAAAATCCATCAATAGATTCGTGTGCGTTTTGGTACGTGTACTAGGTCTGTCCAAGAAAGCTTGGTTTGAGATTTGGAGTTGCTAAATAACAGTAATTACCAGCCACCCCCACTATCCACAAATATCCCACAGCTTTAAAGACAAGTACAATTGTTAGAGACCAAACCCCCATGCACACCCTTTGGGGCACGGGAAAGGGTAGCACTGCAAGGTAGCCCAGTATGGGGCCCGGCCAACCTTTTCCGGATACCCTCATGCCTGGCTTGGCTAGCCAGCCTTTTCCGCGAACCCTAAAAATCATTCTTGTTCATTCTTCTCTCTATTCCCTGCAGGTACCGGGTATACTACTTGTCGGTGTTCGTCCTGGAGTTTGCCCTGCCAGTGTTGATGATGATCTTCTGCTACAGCTGCATACTCAAGAAGGTGTGCTGCCGCCGGATCCCGGGACATCAAACCAGTCTGCAGGTATCTTGAAAGTTCATCAACTGTGTTGGTAGAAGTTATCATGAAGTAACTGTAATTTCCAACAAGAGAAATTAGATTACACAAGGACGTATAATGTCCTTGGATTACACAAATTTTTGGCTGTACAACTCTAGTCTTATTGGACTAAGTAAAAAAATCTTGGAGACTGAGCCAGACTTCTTTGTACGCGGAATTAAAGAGGCCATCTCCACCAGGGCATTGCAACCATCCCAGAACAAAGACGGGGGGTGCCACTGACTTTCTGCAACATATGATCCTCTGATCATATGTTGCAGAAGCTATGTCATCTGCATAACGTGACATCACATGCAGAAGCTATGAATCTCTCACCAGAAAACACTTAGAAAAGAGTTGTTTTTAAGTATTCGTTCTTTTAGGCATGTTTATTCCTCCAATGCCAATAGGCATCAGCCGTTGCGAAGTCTCGACTGAAGGCGGTCCGAATCCTAGTGGTCATCCTTGTTCTGTACATCGTGTGCTGGGGACCGTACCACGTGGTCACGATCATCCGGGACTACTACCCGGAGATGCTGTCCATGTCTTCCTTCAACAACTCCCTGATGTACACGGTCGAGGCGCTGGCCATGGGCAACAGCATGATGGACACACTCGTCTACATCGCGTTGAACGAAAACATCCGCTCAACCATGAAGCACGCCCCTCGCGACATTCTGCAGAACTACAGGCAGTGGCGCGGACGGAAGGTTCGGCCGAGCATCCGAAGCTTCGCGGCCAACATCGGCATGTCACCGGCTGGCTCGCAGAGGTCCATGCGGAATGTCGGTCTGACCTTCATAGCGCCAGCGAACGGCGCTCGAAGGTCGCCGCGTCAGGATGTCATCGGGACTACGTCGGAAACGGAGATCTTGTAGACAAACTGAACATATGTACAAATTGTACTACACTGTACATATGATCATGGAGCTAGAACTAGTAGAAGTCTTTTAACTTCATATGATGTAAACCTATTGAACAACCCACTTGCAACGAGAGACTGCAACCAATGAGCGACCAAAAATTTGAAAGATCGCCGAAAGAATTTCATGGAAAATGAAAGAGCATTTTTTCAGATTTTGTATGTCAGATTCTTTTGAATCATACTTTTATCGATGCGATCGTGCATCATTTTCCTATTTTAAAACTATTATCTAAGACATTATATTTTTTTCGCCAAACAATTAGCCTTATTTTTGCGCCATTAGGTTTTTTAAAACTTCTTCTTCCCTTTGATATACAAATGTACATGTACTCACTGCCAGGCAAATACTGGCCAATACTGTATTGAACATGCGTATCCAAGAAAGTTGTAAAAAAACATGGCATGGAAGGGATATATTTCATGAAACTACATAACTATGTCTACTTAAACACAATATTCTAAGCATTTTATACAACACGACATTTTACGCATTTTGTTATAAATGGGGTACTTTGGTTTGTATTTTGGCTATACCTTAGGTTAGCAATATCATATCAGTTATATAATAAACCAAACTACAATGAACTGTGGATCTAATCATCATTTTATCGATAAGTTTGCTAGTAGATAAGTTTCACACTTTTCCTGTACTTTTCTTTGATGTCATCTATAAGTTTTTGCCTTGAAATCCATATATTTACACACTCACACATAGATACATAGATAGGATAGATAAGTAGATACAGATAGATAGATAGATACACATGTAGATATATTCAGACATGATAGATCAATATATTGATATACATGTACATGCTAGAAAAGCCGACTGAGAAATAATGTACATGTACAACCATTTTTCTAGCTAGTTCTATGCCTCAATTCGAATTGGTTAGAGTAAGGATCAGGCATGGCTCTGAATAGTCCACAAGTATCCAGAATTGTACCTGGGGCAAATGTACATTCATGGATACATTATTAGTAAGCTATATTAGTATGTTTACATTTGCTGATGGAAAACATTATAATGTTTTTGCTCAGTTTCTTCTTCTTCTCCAAACAAATAAAGTCAATGACCTGGACCAGAAGGCTGTCACCATGGTACCTGGTGCTGTAGCAGACACACTGTGGTGTTGGGTTACATTTTGTAGCAGGGCAAAGTTGGAGGGACTGCTCACTATACATGTATATTGTACCAGTTGCTGGTAAAAAAAAAGGAAAGTGATCTCGATCCAGTTTTAGCTCACTATAGATCTAATCTCCTACAGTATTTACAACTTCATTGCACCAGAGAAATTCCCCTAGCTATTTATAATTTCGACAAGAACAATGAACAGTGGACCACAGCTTAACGTCCCGTCCTAAGGACTGTGACCCTTTGCAGTAGTATGCATGTCTGGTGAATGACACAGGCGGGATTTGAACTCCCAACCTCTTGGTCCAGATGCAGGGTTGTTCCAAACAGTGCAGCAGAATAGTCACACTGGTCACATCTGTAGGGTCTTTCTCCTGTTTTACTTTGCGTATGTTGTGATAAGTTTGACCTCACAGTCATACTGCATTCACAATCCCCACACATGTAGGGATTCTATGGCTTGCCGGTGTGTTTAACAAGATGCAACAGAATAGTCATATTTACATATGCTCCTGAATACGAGTTTTCATATGTCGGAATAAGAGGAACTTTCAAGTTGTCCTGCATCCACACTCCCTGCACATAAAAGGTTTCTCAGAAGTCTGGGTTACTATAAGGAGGGACAAAGTGTATTTCTGTGCTTCACACTGGTCAGACTTGTAGAGTTTTTCTTCGGTATGAGATGCATGTATCATAGGTTTCAATGAGTCAGTCCTTTGAGCAGTGTATGTTGATTTATGGTCACCTAAGGTGGATTTCCTTCTTCTGCAAACTGGTCACACTGTTCTTCTTTGTGTTCTCTCATATGGCGGAATAAGTTAGACTTGTCAGGAGCCCTGTACCCACACTCTCCACATATGTAGGGTTTTTGAACAGTGTGCTTTTTTAGATGTTTGTCCAAACTGGATTTCTGTGCTGCAGAATAGTCGCACTGGTCACACTTGTAAGGTTTTTCTCCTGTATGGGTTCTCACATGATGGGTTAGGTTGGACTTCTCAGCGGTCATGTATCCACACTCCCTACATATGTATGGTAGCTCACCAGTGTGTTTTGTTTTATGTTGATTCAAAGATAATTTATGTGCTGCAGAATAGTCACACTGGTCACATTTGTAGGGTTTTACTCCTGTATGAATTCTCATATGCCTGGACAAATTAGCCTGTTCAGCTGTTGTGTATCCACACTTCCCACACATGTAGGGTTTGTCACCAGTGTGCTTTGTGAGATGCTTGTCCAAACTGGATTTCTGTGCTGCAGAATAGTCGCACTGGTCACACTTGTAAGGTTTTTCTCCTGTGTGGGTTCTCACGTGTTGAGATAAGTTGGACTTTATAGCTGTCCTGTAATCACACTCCCTACATATGTAGGGTTTCTCACCAGTGTGATTTGCTAGATGTTTGTCCAAAGCAGACTTGTGTGCTGCAGAATAGTCACACTGGTCACATTTGTAGGGTTTTATTCCTGTATGGATCCTCATATGTCTGGATAAGTTGGCCTGGTCAGCTGTCATGTATCCACACTTCCCACACATGTAGGGTTTATCACCAGTGTGTTTTGTTAGATGTTTGTCCAAACTGGATTTCTGTGCTGCAGAATAGTCGCACTGGTTACACTTATAAGGTTTTTCTCCTGTATGGGTCCTCAAATGTTGGGTTAGGTTGGATTTTATAGCTGTCTTATATTCGCACTTCCCACACGTGTAGGGCTTTGCACCGGTGTGCTTTGCTAGATGTTTGTCCAAAGCAGACTTGTCTGCTGCAGAATAGTCACACTGGTCACACTTGTAGGGTTTATCTTCAGTATGAATTCTCATATGTCTGGTTAAGTTGGCCTGTACAGTCGTCCTATATCCGCACTTCCCACACATGTAGGGTTTCTCACCAGTGTGTTGCGGTAGATGATTGTCCAAAGCAGATTTGTGTGCTGTGGAGTAGTCACACTGGTCACACTTGTACGGTTTTTCTTCTGAATGATTTTTCACATGTCTGGATAAGTTAGACCTGTAATCTGTCCGGTATCCACACTCCCAACACATGAAGCGTTTTTCGCCAGTGTTGTTCAGTTGAACCTCTTGTGCTGCCATCTGTTCCTCAGCATTTGTTGTGTTGCTGTCACACTTTGACTCATACTCACAGACAACCTGGGAAACACCGGTGGGAGACCCATCATTAAAGCAGTTCTGATCTACTCCAGTGGGAGACCCTTGTTCTGCCATTGCCATGTCCAGCCTAGTGAGAAAGTAAAAATAATAGTATTATTTAATTAATAACTTTTCTTGAGTTAAATGCCCATTTTCTCAAATTGCAGTATATACTTTGCTACTAAGTGGGCAGCTCCTACAAAATTACAATAAGCTCTTATTCATTCACTCACTGCTATCTCTTAACAAAGTTTTACATGAATAAACCATAATTTCATTCATTCATTCCACTGATCACTTCTAGGTGCTTGTGTTTAAGGTCACAAATAACACTACGAATGCCTAGATAAACAATCAAAGGTGAAATCACGTGAAAAATAAACATACAATACCATACTTTATAGTAAATTCTACGTCAATGACATGTATCAGCGATCACCATGACGTCACAGAGTGGTAGGCGAAATTAGATGACGCTTGGCTGGTTTGCCTACCAAAATTGTCTACTAAATGTCTTGAAATAATTTGTAAACAAAATTTCCTGTAAACAACAGCGATCTCTCGTGTTATCTGAAATGCATCATTATCTCGCTTGCGCAGCAACCAGCCATCTGCCGCACGCCCCCCTCCCATTTTCCATCATACTCATACCCAGAAAAGACACAAAAACCATGGTCTCATTGTGGCCGTTCGACCACAGAAATGAGCCCCAAACTCTTACGCTCGGTTCCTAAGTCTTACCTGCTTCCTATGACGGCTTTTCTCTTCACGGAAACCGGGACTGGCGTACTCGGGGGGACAGCTTTGTTTTTCGTCGTATAGAGGGGTCAGACTTTAATATGACCTAGGTCAAAGGTGAATATGCTCCCTGATTACCCGAATAGTGTTTTTCAGGTTACCGTGTATTGTTTTTGCTCACAGTCCTTTGTGCGCCACCATTTTCTTTCCCATAATGTTAAGAGGGAGGTGTACACATATATGATGGGGAAGGTTAAACACGGCTGTGACCATGGTAACTGGTGCTGTAGCAGACACCTTGTGGTGTTGGTAATATATTACTAATTATTAGAATATGTTTGAATACGATGGCAGTAGTTTTTAGGCCAGACCATGTGAAGGTAAACATTATGCATTTGATTTGCAAATGTTACCTTTCTAGGTTATACTTTGACCAGGAGTGAAAGACTTTTTACCAACCTGGGCAGTATTAGGTCAAAAGTTTCCTCATACCAGAAACTTTTGTTTGGATAGAAGAAACAACAAAACATGCCTCATGACTTGGTAAATGTTTCCCTAAGAGAAACGGTAAGTATCAGAAAACTGTAACACTAACAGTTTAATTTTCTGACAAAATGGTGCTCCATTAAAATACAGCTTTTTCTACTCTATGATAATATTGTTATAAAAATAATACATTTTTAAGAATATGCAGCAAAGTTTGACTAAATGCTAGTGTACATTATGTTAGTGTGATATCATAAGGGTTCGAAATGAGCCTTTTCAGTGATATATACATATATATACTAGTATATATATATATATATATATATAACTTTGTTATATATCTATTATAATACAAGGGGATTGATGAGGCATCAACTGAACTATAATCTACCTAAGTTAGTTCCCATACATTTTGTGTAAGGGAAACAAAAGAACTATAAAATCAACTCAGACAAGAAGTCATCTTAGTCTGCAAAATCTAAAACTAATCCAGGCTCAGGATGCTCTAGCATGTTCCCACACATTCTGGGATTGGTTGTACTGAAACATGGACAGTTGCTAATGTAGTTATTCACCATGCGGGCCCTCTGTGTTAGCTGCACCCTGTGTGTTGGCAAGGCTGGAGTTCAGATATGGTAGGTACATACGAGCCACAGGGAACATAGGTTCAACCAAACACCAACGTCCAAAAGGCAGGAAGGACACCTCACTCCAAACATCTTCAGACCTATCATACACTAACACCAGTTGCACTTTTTTTCTTGATCTCTCTCCATTCCAGGCGTCTACCAGTGCATGCAACTTGTTTTGGAGTACAAAGAGAGTGACGTTGTCCACGCAAAGAATTGTGTCAAGCCAACCTGAACGCTCAGACCAGCTGTCTGCCACTGTGTCGTACACCAATGTCTTGGTGAGGTAAGAGTCTGTAAAGAAGATCTCTGTTCCCATGGCTGCAGCTTTGTAGATTTCAGTACTGTCGACTCGTGGGGCTTTAAGGCACCACTGGTCTTCCATTGGGTCGTAACAGTATACTTCTTTCTGTGTGAAGAGGTAGATGTGATGACCACACGGCACAGCCACGTTAAAGTCCCAACACCCATCGTTTTGAGGTGTTGAACACTTGTGCCACTTGTTTGTGTGCTGGTTGTATTTCTTAAACACCAATGCTGTTGATGTCACAAAAAGGTAAAAAAGATGTCCATCGAGTCCTATAAGGTAGTCAAATTCATTGTCGTCCATGTCTGCTACCCTAGCTACTTTAGACATTCGTACCCATTTGTTACCGACGTGGTTGTACTTAAACAAGGCACACTTTTCATCTGAAACTTTAGCCAGGATGTAGATATCATTATCACAAGTAACGGTGCCCAGAAGTGGAGATAGTTTGTTGTAGCGATACCTGATGTACTTCCCTTCTCCTGGGTTCATCCACAGCATATTTCTGTTTCTGTAAAGGTTGAGATGCATTCAATGATCAGGCCATGCCAGTTTAATATTTTTTTGCTTCTTGGATAGAAGAAAATATTGATGCTGAAGAGGAACATAAACATGAAACAGACAAATGGAAAAGTCTGTACCTTGGTACACAAAAAATAGGGAGCAAAGATCATTTATGAGGGAGACTGAAGCTGAAATTGACATCCATAAATTAATGGGAAATACAGATACTGATTGATAGGAAAAAGTGCCTGTACCTTTCACTAAAAAGCATAGCCATTTCCATTGTGTCCATCCCAAACCTCCTTGTCAGGTTGGATGCCTCCTTTACCACATTCCTGATGGCTGATCTCCCAGGATCCTCTCTGACCAGGGGGTGGTCTAAGATGGTCACCATGTTGTGCGGAGTCAGCAGCTTGAAGCGGATGTGAGGGAGGATGCTGGGTAGGTGGTGCAGTCTGCAGGGTACAGGGTAAGTGTGGAGTAGGCCGGTTTCTTGGTACATGTGCACGTGCACCACATCAGCTTTTTAATTAATTACATGTATGTTATGTTTACAGCAAACCTGCCAAGGCAACCACTTCTTCAGTTCAAGCCAACCACCTGGCAATGGCGACCGCTTTTTCTTGGTCCTAAAAATGTACCCATCCATATGGGATCTGCCAAGGGCAACCACCTGGCCAACACAACTGCGACCGCCATGATGACATGTCAAAGTGGGTTAACGAAGGTCACTGCTTTTCCCTGGTCCCCTGTTTGGTCACCTTGGGCAGGTTTTACTGTCTTTGAATGTTACAACAACAATATGCCCTTATAATACTAGAACACTGCTGCCCACCTGTCCTCCCTGCTGTGCTGCACCCATCTCACTACAGCCTCCCACACTCTTGTCTCCTCATTAACCTCCAGCTCATCATGGCTGATGATCTCAGTCAGCTGATCCACACTCAGACTGCAGAACTCCTTACTGGAGGTAACCTGTGGAGGTACAAAGAACTTGTACATTGTACATGCCTTTACCAGGCTCTAGAAAGAGTAGAAATTGGCATATATAGGTAACATGCCAGGGCAGTTGGTCCCCAAAAGAAGTACAGTTTGCTGTGGTTGTGTGGAGTAATGGTAAAGTGTTCGGCTCAGACCCAAGAGGTCCCGGGTCAGATTCCTACCCAATGCCACCAATCATGTGCCCTTGGGAAAGGCACTTGATAATACAATGTAATTACATGACTTTCCTCATGATCACTTCACTCAGGTGTAAATGAGCACCAGTAGATTCGGTTAGGACGTCCCTCGAATAAGGCATTAAATGGAGGTCCCGTGTTTGGGAGAGCCACACCCCACACAAGTTTAAGAAACCACCACACTTATCGAAAAGAGTAGGGGACCTTCCCGGTGTGAGTGGTTCAAAACTTACAGTCCTATGGCCAGACCTTGCATTACACAGCCACAACAAGTAAGATCAGTAGACAAGGGGTACAACAATCATTTTCCAAGATGGAAGGATGCCTAGACCATATAACTCAATAAGTTAAAACTGAAAGCTTCAATTACTAGAGAATTCTTTCAGCAGTGACAAGTTTTTGAAGGGTAAGAATACTCCAAATTCATTCAAGGCTGTATCTATATGTACATTATGTTGTCATCTGGTATTGGTCAACAATGGAGACAAACCTCAGTAAAGTGTTTGGCAATCCACTGTAGACAAACTTTCCAGACAATCTTGGCAGAGAAGACATCTGCAAACTTGTACAGGTCTACACAGGTGGAGTGCTCCACGTTCATGGCCATGTAGCTGCTGCAGATGTCTTTCACATAGTCCAGCTGCAGGAGGTCGGCTGCCTGGTACAGAGGCTGCACTCTGTCCATGGATACATGGAGGGTTCCCGAGTAAATGTAACTCAGGATCTCCTCAAACGTGTCTGCATCCAAACCCTAAGGAAAAATACAAATACAACAACATTTAAGCTTCTTCCACCAATTGCAATTTGCAAGTGTATGCGTTTGAGATTGGAGAATAATCGATCAATAATCAATTTAATACCAAAGTATCATTCCTGATCTCAATCTTATTCAACTATGACGTATGAGAAGTAAAAATAAACAAGGAGAAGTCGTAGACATCATCCCTCCATGAAATAGCTTGTTATTTTGTAATCTTTTGGTGTATTTCAATAGAGATATTATGAGTCAAACTTTGTTTTTATCAGCAGAATGATTTGTGGTGGCACTTTGTATTTATTAAGCTGTCATGTGCAGGCGTTTAGTGTCTTGTTACCATGGTTTGTTTACTTTGATGGCCAGCAGGTCATTTGCCTTAGCCTGGGTACCATCCCCAGTAGTATATTCCAAACTCTATAACTGTTATAGAGTTTGCGAATATACTACTGGGGATGGTACCCAGGCTACATTTGCCTGTACATGTAGGTCAATGACCAGACAGGCAAATGACCTGCAGACCAGACAAACAAGATTTATTTTCCTGCAGTCTCTGTCTAGGGGTAAAAATAGATAGGGCTGCCTGGGTCTGACCTGCCAGCTGGAGGTATAAACAAAAACACTCTGTCCCAACTTTTGGGTCAAACAGACCATCCTATTATGAAGTAGGGGTGAAAAAGTGAAAATCCTTTTAAATTAAGCAATAAAAATATGCGACAACCTGCTAATGCACTCCAAAACACAAAGAGACTCAACAACTACCCACATACCAAAAATCATACCAAACCATCCCCCAGATTTTCCAAACATTCAACACAAAAAGTCCAACATTAAACATTTTGTAAATATCAAACGCAAACAGCTAGGGGACCCAAATTTAAACCACTAAACCATGGTAATAACAACTACATGCTACCTTAATATCGCACAAACAGTCCATAACGCGAAAACAACAGAATAAAAAAATTAAACTGCAGTACCAAGGTCAATCACCAGGGGCTCAAAGTCAACCTACACAATCTCCAAGGCCCCATCCATCAATCTGCCAAATATCGTACAGTTCCTTCTCACCGATCTTCAGATATCAGACCAAACATGAAACGGAGTAAAAACAGTACCCCCATTTTCATGGAGGGTAATTTTTATACGATATCAAGATTGTAGAACCCACCACACCTTTCGAAAAAGACTTGGGGGCATGCCCCGGTGTGCGATGGTCCTAATACTTATCTGATTATTCACTACGGACTACAGGAAGAGTAGTGTAAAATTCACACTATAACAGGGCTATAATGAAGATCCTAAACAAAAAGTTATAGTGGGGAGGGGGGCAAGAAACATTATGTTTTTGTCAATTTCCAATTTCGGGAAAAGTCTTACCCCCCCCCCCTAATTTTCCTGCTTCTGTGGGATAGGTATCATCTCTGTAAAATGTTTCTAGTCAACCCCATAACCGTTAAATGTTCCGCTAAACCTACTTGTAAAATAACCGTCTTCTGCCGACTTTCCGCCATGTCGCTTGTAAACATGGCTCGGAAGTAGGGGCTGGCCGCGGACAGAACAAGCCGATGGCAGGGAAACCACCGTTCCTCGACTTCAAGAATGACATCCTGCAGTATCCCATCCTTCTGTAAGTCACCTACAGCTCCAAGAAACCCGCGAAGATAGCCCTCGTCTTGGTAGACATGAGAACGAACTGCCCTGGCGTGAGATTCTTGGTCCGAGGCAGCCATGTTGATGATGATGAGGTTGCTGTGCGGTGCGGTGCCTCCTCAAGGCCACGGCAAGTAAATTTTATGGATGACATCATCCGCAGACCCCAAATCTAATGTGATAGGGCGAAAAAATGGCAGGCCAAAAAAACGTGATTACTACATTTTGAAATTTTGACATTATACACTACACCTTGTGATATTGTGCTAAGTTTACTGCCAACGATTGCCAACATCCATTTGTCACTGAAACAACTTAAAAAATAAGCTAGTTTTTCAGTCATCGTACAAATGATTTTGATTCGGTGGGAACATCACATGTACATGAACATGTACACAGCCACCATCACATAAAAAAGGAAGGAAATACACATCACTGCATCAAAGTAAAAGATAAAACAACAAATCAGAGGGTTGTCTTGTCTCATCTCTTCATATTTATCCGCCACCCATGGCAACAGACATCTTTGCCCATTTTCTGCATGTTCTATGCTGTGATTTAGTCCCCTACACTGTCTTTCAACCAACGTAGGGATGTTTTGGGAAAGGGAAAACATTAACTTTACAAAAGCTGTCCCTCAATGAGCAAGAAATACTAGTAGTCAGGTGGTTTAATATGAGTTTCAAAATTTTTCGGGGAGAATACCAGACCCCCTGCTGTGGTCATGTTTTGGGGACTCAATGTGCAATTTAACTTGCACCATAGAAGGTTGTCTTCCTGTACCAGACCCCTACGCTGTTAAAAAAATCCTGGTGAGAACCCTGCAAGTCACTTACCAACCTTTAGGAATGGCCATGCCCTTAAAGACGCTTTAGCTTTGTACATAAAGTAAAAGCTGCAAAAGACAAGACTGTAAGGTTAGAACCACTCACCAGGTGGGACCCCTACTTTTTTCAGTTAGTATGGTGGGATCTTCAATGTACTTGAGCTGTGCTCTCCTTAGGCTTCAAGTCCTATCCGAGATGACATCCCTAGGCGAAGCTAGGTACTCATTTTTACCTGAGTCGAGTGAGGAAATAGGTGTAAAGTGCCTTTTCCCAAGGACACAACACAGGGGCCTGTCATGGATTCGAACCCAGATCCTTCAGATTCAGCCTCCTTCACAAGACCAGACTACCACCTCTTGGTTGTACAAGTTCTTTTACCCATGACCACAAAGTGGACTATGGGTTGTGATACGATATGCCCTTTCCTGTATGTTTGTTTTTTTGTTGTTGTTTTTTGGTGCCAATTGTAACCACCATCTTTATTTCAAGCACTTGCTGCAGTTAAGTGAGATGACTTTTTTCATTTTGCCTTTCTTTTTTTTCTTTATTGGCCACATTTTTTTCTTCTTTTCGGTGAATTTGTCATGCTTTTTTTTAACCCAAATTCTTTTTACCATCTTTTCTGTTTTCAAATCTTTTAAAATGTGACCGACCTGTTTTGAGACTTTCTTCTTTTTTTTTCTTTTTCCATCTCACCTGCAGTTTGATGCTCTTCAATACATCATTATAAATGTACAGGAAGTTTACATTTTCAACACTAGACATAATAAACTTGCCTTACATACATGCCAGTTCAATCAAGAAAGCAAAACAACTTCTCTTAACAAAATATCTACAGAAGTAACAGAACAACCAATTTTCACTTGCACGTGACCACATTATACAAACTTTTACCTTGCAGCACCCAACAAAATGTTTTCTACAAAAACCTCATATTGTATCTCTACAATTCAGTACAAACATAGCTTCTGTAGCATTTTTTCCTCAAATTTCTGAAAAGGTAGGTATGAATTCCAGTGATGCAAAATCTGCACTGATTGGCTGCATGTAAGTTGGCGTGGAAAAAATTATTTTGAAAAGTTAATTCTAAACTCTGCATTCACATAACTACAATGATCATTTGCTATGATATACAGCAATACATGTACATGCATTTTTCACTCTTTCTTTTTTCTTTCTACAATAAACACTTTGGAAACAAGTGAAAATTGGGAAAAAAGAGGTGCAGCTTTGTTTGGTTCACTGAAATAAAAGACGACAGTGAGAAGGTACAATTCTTACAATTAAAGGATGTTCCACTGAAAATCTCAAGAACATGGCAGCCAGCAACTGTTTTTTTTTCATTTACTTAGATTCCCATCTCCTAGTCTTCACCAGACTAACAATGCAGGTTTAAAAACCGTAGAATTTAGCTAAATAGGGAGAATAACTTGCCAGGGGAGATTAGCCACCATCATTTGAAACCCTAACGGTGGACCCACTCCCCTGCCCAGTCAGGCCCTATATTTTTTTGCTGAATTCTACCATCCTAACCTTAGGAAAGCCTAGTGGAGGCTACCTATCTCCCAAATATCTAGTCACTCCATAGGGTGATTATTTAAGATTTTCTGAGCGCCCATGCCTGAAATTTTCAATGGAACACTGACTAGTCGACTGGAACAAGCTAGATTAACATCCCAATTGACATAAAAAAGTAAACAATCAAGCAACAACAGCGTAATCGGGATTCAGTGGAATTATACTGCTTTTTCTAAGCACTGAATTAGTACAAATTTTACAAAACATATTCAACTTGCTACATGACATCAGTTTTTAGCTTAGCTAAACTGTAACATTGTGAGATATAGTCAACAGTATTTTTTTTACATGTGGCAGTGAATTCCTACAGCTGTACATGTTATGTTTGAAATTTCAAGATGTTTTGTATGACATAAATACACTTGAAATACAGATGAACTTTCATGATACACTTGAATGTACCATCTTCGGCAGAACTTCTGGACAAAATGAAGAAACACTGCCACAATACTTAAATGACAAGGCCCAGAAAATTTGCTTTATGCTAAAAATATCAGACAATGCTTTCCCCCTCATGAGAAGCATGATGTAACAGTAGTGTTTGGAAGATTTGTACACAGTGTCCTAGCCAGCATCCATCTTTCCATCATGCTCATTACGGACCAAAAGTTTGCCCAATCCATCATCTTTGATGGCTAAAATCGCCATGTAAGTGTAGGGAAAGAGTTGGCATCAAACTCAGCTTAGTCTACCAGCAAAATTTTCTCTAAAATGCAGAAAAAAGCATTGCAGAAGGACAAGATTTCCAAATTTTCTGGGGAACATGCCCGACTGTGGCAAGGCCTCACATCTTACACGTTCAAGGTGACGTTATGTCGAACAAAAATGAGATGATGAAAAACACTTCAGGCTGGCTAGAACACTGGTTGGACGTAGTCGCTCCTGTATCACCGTCTCCAGGACCTGGACTCTGATTCATCCTCATCATCCTCATCATCATCCGGCAGCGGAGCCAGGAGGGCATCCTCTTCATCATCCTGCAGATGGAAGCACACAGAACTGTGTCAACACTGATTCATGTACCATCAGCAATGGTGATCATATGGTGTGGTATCAACAATAATCACCAATAGCACCATATGATCACTCGCAAGATAATCATCGAGAAAAAACAACTTAAACATCTACATGTACATGTACCTTTATCCCTAAAATGGTTCAGTTCAGCAGAAAATTTTGAGAAGATTGGGCAGTTGAAGAGAAATGGAGCTAATTCGGTAAATTACAGTTATGGTTTATTCTTTACAGTCACCCGAGTCATGTAGTTGTATTGTGCTACCTGTGATGCTACATATGTATACTGTACGGTTTGGTACTGACCAGCTTTCATATGGTCACTATTGCTGGTGGTATATGAACCTAGGGGTCTATCCAGCGTACTTTGAGTGCAGGAACTCCTTATACCCGTATGCCCTACTAATATATAGGATATTATCCTACTAGTACTGCAGGAATGTTTCTTCCTGTGACCCTTCATTAGACTTCCAGACATACGTGTAAACACAGTCATAATCAGTAGCAAATAAGCATTTTAGTAAAAGTATACAGAGACCAGATTCAAATGAAATTCAACTAACAATTCAGATACATTTGTAACCATGAAAGAGAGCAGTGAGGAAATTGAAAGTTCTCACATTCAGGTCCACCTCCCCTTCCTCATCCTGGTCCAAGGTCACTGTCCTGGTCGGAAGGTTCCATGTGATGTTCAAGGTCATGCCCTTGAAAATACTCCCCTTTGTGGCAGCCTAGCATGCATGAGTCACATGTGCACAGTCAGTCAAGTTAGACATACATGTAGTTCTCATGAGCCAAATCAATGGGAAAATGTGTGAGAAGCTTCCAGAAAACCAAGGTACTACATTGTACATGTAATGTACATTCTGTCTCTTGACTTTTAACAAAGTACATGTACAACAAATTGCTGTTTAAACTTTCTCTTGCAAAGAAGTTAAATAGCATGGAGAAGAGCACACAACAATAGTGTGTTTTGTGCACATAAGTAACATATCCAATTTCATTTTATTTGTGCTATGAGTTTTTTCTGTTACTTGCAGAGGTTAGACCAACTGTACAGGTTATGCCATCTGTTATTTTAACACGTTTTGCATAGTATACATTGTTTGTCACTTGAGTTACATCTTGATGTCAGGTGTCAGTGTGGTCTAATTATCTCAACAGCCAATCAGCAAGAAGAACCACCACTTGCAAAAAAGAATTGGCCAATCAGGCCATGCAAATAGAAATGCTGCATGTCTATTGGTTATTAACTACTCACAATTTCAGCCTCCAGCCTTGTCTTGAACTCCAGCAGCAAGGTTAACCCTGTCTCATCATACTCCACTTTCTCAACCTCACCAAATTGCTGCAGAAATGACAAAAACAAGAATGGTATCAAAAACACCTGAGCAATGCAGTATTATAAAAAAATCTTTTTTCTTTCACAGTACATACATGAAAATATTCTCACTATAACCATGTTTCTAGTCCGTTTAAACAATTAAAGAAGTGGATCTTGCATCTTAGTTACCCGTATTTGCAAGTTAAGGAATAAACTGGTTCTTAGAAAGATTCTTTAATTATGAGCCCTAAAAGGCACCCACTATGGAAGACTGGTTCTAGCTATTTATTGTTGGTACCAAAAATAAAGGAACTCCCATGTACATGTAGTTTGTTTAAAGGCTACTTTAAATGCCTGAAGTATAAAAACGCCTGCCATCAGAAATAGCAGTAATTGTCAATATCAGACCGGCTTCATAATTTAGAATATTTTTGTTTTGTTTTGCCGCCTTGAAATTGTATTGGATGGCTTTAATTATGACAGCTTAAATAGTAATTAAGCAAATGTGCCATACATTGGAGCAACAAGGGTCCTTACCGACAGGTGTGTGAGAATCTCGTCCTTGTCTCCTATCTGGTACCCCGTGATGGCGAGTTGTTTGGGTCTCCTGTCCAGAACTGCCCCCGCTCGAGTTCTCAGGTACGGCCTCCCCCTGCCTCTCCCCCTCACAGCACCCCCCCTGCCCCTGCCACGCCCCCTCCCCCTGCCGCGGCCAGCATTCAGCAGACCCAGGGACTGTGCCTGTTGGGAGAGCAAAGACTTTTCTTCTAAGTAAAAAGAAACCAAAAACATTTTTTCTTCCCCGGGAAGCAAGAACAGTTATGCCAACCATCATGAGCTAGCAACAAGAACACCAAACTATCTTCTAAAATTTCTTCTTCAGAATGCATTGAACTTATATGAGATCTGTATACATGTAAATCATATTTGTTATTGTACATGTATTTTGGCTCGATTACACCAGCAATGATTTGTCGTAGTTTTGGAACAAGTAGTTTTCCAATAGGACAGAAAAAATGGTGTGAGATCACACAGAGGTCAAATGAGAGCACAATACCCCTCCCTGACACTTGACTTAGAAACCTCTGAATCATTCAACAGTTCAAGTGATGTCCATGTAACACACCTCTTGCTGTAGCTCTGCTAGTCTTTTCTTGAGCGCCGTGGTGTCTTCCCCGGCCGTCTTGGCGTTCAGAAGGTCCATCTCGGCGTCCAGCAGCTCTCTCTGAGCCTGCAACATGTGCAGCGGCCGTGACTCCTGTCAATCAAACATGGCTGGCAAATCTGTGCTCTGGTTACGGGGAGGGGAGGGGGGCACCCAGGGGGAAAACTGCCCCATAAACACTCTCAAAACTTCACAATAGGTGAGAGGAACCAATTGGTCCAAAGCTGGCATCACACAGCAGGAAAATAGTTCATCTGAAAGTCTGCTAGCTACTCTCTAAGCTGAGGTTTAGGCTTCAGCTTATTTCTGACATGTTTTTACACATTTGTATCTGGCCTTCTTTTTTGTACTGGTATCTTTTTTTTTGACAAGTAAAAGGGTGGCATTTGAATACTGTCTTGTCAATTTGATACTGTCTTGTCAATTTGATATTGTCTTGCCAATTTGATACTGTTTTACGCCACCAAAAGATCTGCTTGGAGATTAATTTACAGCATCAACATGGTCAGTGTCCTTTTAATATGTGTCCAATGTCATAGTCAAGCCAAAAATATGCCTGATTTTCTTAGAATTTTTAAATTTTACGACCTTCTTGCAATCGACAAATTTGTCCGAATGTCGTTGAGTGTAACGCCAGCTTAACAGTGTCAAAACTTCAGAATTAAGTGAGAGGAACCAGTGGGTATAAGGAAGGCGGAAAAAGAAAAAAAAATTTGTTATGTTACGTTATATGAAAAAAGTGGTGAAATTTTATGCACTCATTTGAGAATAAGAAGGAAGAATGGTGCATGTTTGGAAAACTATTTGAGGGGCATTTTGAAAAACTGGAGGAGGGAGGGGGGTCCTAAACAGCTTCCATGAAGCAAAGGAGAATTACAAAACCTACAAAAGCTGACATGCAAAAAGATAAGGATACAAAAGCAATGACTTCTAAGTAGTGACAAGAGCAAAATAAACACAGAAGAAGTAAATTTTATACTATTTGTCATCTTCTTTACATAAAAACATCAAACAAATCAACATTTCTAGGAACATAGGTAGAACAATCATTGTAAGAGATTGCAAAACCAGATAAATGACAAATATTTTAACATTAATGAACATACCTCTTGTCTGGTCTTTGGCTTTGTCGATGTTGCAGCTTTGGGTGGTTCATCAGTTTTCAACTTGGTTATACTCTCCTGTACAGTCTTTAATGTCTGAAAAATAACATAATACTTTTTTCAACCGAATCACTAAATATAGCAGATATAATCAAATTTTGAAACAGATTCGAAAAGCAAATTTTATGTATCATAAGGGGATTGTCTAGCTCAACAGACTATATTTTGTAACTGCTCTATTAACTTTTACAAAAACTATATACATGGTTACCAGCCGCTCTAACTCTGCCATGCAACTTGCTACATAATGTAATGCAACACCACAGGGTGTCTGCTACATCACCAGTTACCATGGTGACAGAAGTCTGGCCCAGGGCATTGACCTTTTTGTTTGGAAGTGAAGAATTAACAGAGCAAAAACAATATGTTTTATAAGACTAAGAACATTGAGGGAAGTAGTTTCTATTCAACACTTACCTTCATTATAGCGTCCCTCTCTGGAGCAGCCATACTTTTGTTCTTCTCCAGTCTTTCTATTAACATCTGTCAAATTTGAAAATATAAATACAGAAAAGAACCTTGTTTACTCCATACTATATTGGTCTCAGCAAAATTCTAACAAAAATCAACACTGTAGAAATGTAGTGTTAATTTTAGTTCACTACTGTAACAATGCCCCAGAGCCCACCATCAGATGTACATGGTATCTTCATACTTTCATCTTGAAAAGAAAGAAACCCAAACCTTTTGTTGCTGAATTTGCTTTTGTAGCAGCTCCTGTTTCTTTGTCTGAAGGTTCATCTTTAACTTAAGCGCCTCCTGGTGGATAAGAAAGAAAGTGCAGGTGTTTGCAAAGATGACAACATTCATTCTGTTTTTGCCGTGCGGATGTAACATTCACTGGTCACAATTAAACTACTGGAAAAAACATGTGCTGGTCTTATACCTTGTTTATGTGGATTTTTATTTGTGTTGACTGGTACCACCTACATATTGAATGAAGTACAGAAAAATAATGGCAATGGTTTCTGAAAAGTTTTTAGTAATAGTATGATCCATACTTCCCAAATTTTGAGTGGTGCAGGTAAACTTTTCAAATAAAAGGACTTGAATCCCTGCTAATCTTACCTTTTTCTTCTCCTCCTGTTTTTTCCTCAGTGCCTCCTGTGCCTCGGCCACCTTCTGTGCTGCTATCTGTGAGGCGGAAGGCTGTTTAGCTGCCTGGGGGGTGTTCACTTTCTTCATGGCTTCTGGGTTGTACACAGTCTTCGAAAGACCTGATGATGATGCGTGGACCTATGGGAGAAAAATTGTAAAGAAAAAGAAGGAATAACATTTCAGCTTTATACTTGTCACATCTAACAGCAACTCTTAGAATTGCTGTTGGATGCATAAGTTGGAAATTCATAACAGCAATGCTTGATCAGATATGGAACAATATTGTCAGGAGGGATGTGTATCTTTTCCACTGGTTTGCATAATGCCAGAGGTTTATCTCAGGCAAAAAATTGTTTCTACACGTTGCTACCTTCTGGAGTTTATATTTTGACTGACCACAATATTTCTTCTCAACCATTAGTTTCAAGATTTCAAGTTCATTTTCCATGGCTCTTAAGTGCTAAACAGCAAGGCAGAACTGCTTAAAGATATAGAGCTGCAGACCATAGCAAAGAAAGCATCGCAGCACTCTAATATTACACAAGTGTATGCTGATATAATATCTCCAAATCTTGCTCTACTACATCTAAGTAAAATTTCTGCTACTTTCTGGGACGGTTTGAGGAAAAAAAGAGAGAAATTGTGTCAGAAAAGTTCCAGCAGAAGCACCTAAGCACCCAAATACAGTGGAAGGTTACCTTTTCTGATATTGGCCCTGAACTGCCTGTAGTTTTGGCATGCTCAGGGTTTATGTACAGACGATCTCGTACTGACAACCTGACAGGCCCAGGGTTGGGATGGGCAGCCTCGCCAGGCGTGGACTATACACAACACAGGAAACACAAGTCTTACTGCCTGAACAAAAACTGTTTTTTGTTACCCCCAGGGAAGGTATTGTTTTCAGTCATGTTTGTGTGTTCACAGATATAACTCATGGTGAGTTTGACAGATTTCTTTGATTTTCGATATATGATTAGTTATTGGAGTCCAGATGATGCTTTCTTCTTTTTATCTGTATTTTCAGGTATTGAGATAAAATAATTAGACACCTCTATGCAGACCACCGCTGGACTACAAGGAACAAATATCGCTGCCACCTACCTGTCCCTGATGGTGTTGCGGCTGGTCCTTGTTGTGCCAGAAGACTCTGATGAACCTGTTGTTTAAGACGGCGTCCGTGCACTGGTGCGCCGCTCGCGCTTCTGCGTTACTGGAGAACGTCACCAGGGCACTCTCCGCGTCACCGTCAAAACACACCTGGACGTAGATAAATAAACAAAAGCATGGAAATGTCCTTGTCAACTCTACACAATTCTTCCACTCTTTGTACCAGGAAGCACGAATGACATTCTCGGTCACTGAAATGTCTGATACTTCAGAATGATAATAATTATCCAGTTGCCTGATTTATTTACATCACATACAAATGATGATAGGCTCCATAACTTGTCCATTGAACACTTAAACCTGGACCTAAAATGTTTGTGTTTGAATTTGAGCTCGAATTCAATTTGAGAAGGAAGTGTTACACTACCATCCTGTTTCTGCGCACTGAAGTCATAGTCTTTCAAGACTGACTGACAGAGAGAGATACTGTAAGATATTGTAGAATTTGTTTACTAGGTCAACATTCGTGCACTATTGCAATAAGCTACATGTACTGCAACAATGAAAAACTATGTAGCCCTGTTAGTAGTTTTGTGTAAACAGAGACAGTAGTTTGTAGTATGTGTACTACAAACTACTGTCTCTATTTACTATAATTATGATACAAAACATCTATCTACCGACATCTATCAAAGACAAAGTTTGGAAACTCTCTCAGTCTAGACCTGGAAGTTGTGGCTTAAGAGATTTGCCTTGATTTCGACACAACATTTGACCTACCTGGACATTTGAGACAGTCCCAAACCTCTCGAAGTAACCAGACAACTTGGAGACAGTGTTCATGTCTCGTGGAACCTTCTTGATTTCCAAGGTGCAGTTAGTGTGCTTCCATCCAAGTCTATCTCTGACGTGACCACCTGGAAATATGGTTGGAACGTTTAGTACCTTTATTGTGGCAAGGAGGTTGCATTTTCATTCATGTTTGTTACCCTCATAAAAAATGGAAGTATAATTTTTTGTCTGTCTGTGTGTGTGTATGTGTGTGTGTATGTGTTTCTGCATATTTGTGGTCAGCATAGCTTCAGAAGGCCTGGATGGATTGTGTTGATATTTAGTCAGGTTAGCTTTGTTAAAGGCACCCAAAGCAACTGCAGGACATTAAAACTGGATTTTTGAAGTCAATTATTGACTCTCATTGAAAATCCAGTTTTAATGCCCTGTGAATTTGCTGGTAATTTTTTTTTTAATGTAGTAAGTTGAATCAACCCTATCCCATACCATACTGATATCTGTGAGACAGAAAGAACAGTCAGGCCGAAAGCCGGTGAATATGTCATACCGTAGGCTGGTTCTATATTACAGCTACATGTAATCAATGGTGGTACATATACAAAAAAAGAGGGGCTCACATAGATTTTTCTTGGCTATTTCAGACATAAACATAAATATGATGATAAAAATGTGCTAAGAAATGACAGTAATGTCGATAGAAGACAGATTTCCTCATCCAAAAAAATTTTGTCTTGCAGCCCTGAACTTGCATTGGATGCCATTCACCAATAATATACCTGTTGGACATGCTTACCTTGTTTGACAGGTGGCCCTGTGTAAGGCATCCCTGCACCACTGCCAGGACCCATGGCCTGGTGGAACGTTCTCTTACGACTTTCTCCGCTGTCAATCACCACCCGGGTGTGGCCAGAGGTTGAGTCTGACACTTGAGTCTCCACTGTGTCGATAAAGATACAGATATACAAAATACAACTCATTGAAAATTCAATAGAAAGCAACTGGATAGATCTATCCAGTTTCTGGAATAACATTGTCCTTGTGCATCTCATTAGGCCTAGGAAAAAAAATTTTGTGTTTCCTTTTTCCTGACCGACCCGACAAAAAACTGCCAATCCTAGTCTTTTTTGGGGGGGTAGACCTCTGCAAGGGACAAATTTTTCTGAGCTGATCAACCTTTTCTAGCTCCATGATCTGACACCTGAGTGATGAAATGTTGTAAAATCACTTCCCCAACATTGACATTCAAAATATAAGTTTCCTCATGCAAGTTTTATTTTGTTAAATTGCATTGTGTAAGTCAGATCACCAGAGATTGTCAAAGTCTAATAAAATAAAGAGAGAGATATCCCTACCTACTGATCCTAATTTTCTCAGGGCTAAACCAGGAAACACAACAATTTTTTCTGAGGCATTACCTGTGTGTCTAACCTTCATCTACATAGGAAATTCAGTTCATGTACACAATCATCATGGACGTTCTATAAACACTCTAGCTAGCGCTTGCTGACATCTCGTGTCTGAGGAGAGCCATGTCAAACAAATATCCATTGAACAGAGAAGAGATTCTTGAACTTGTGAGTGGGTCAGACCTTACAGTCCCATTCAATGACGTTTGGAAACTAGATAGGATTTTTAATGATTGTCAAGTGAGGACAAAAATGTAAAGGGAGTTTCCCAAGGGCACAACATTAGGGACTAGGGAGTAGTGCTAAGGATTCGAACCCAGAACCTTTAGATTCTAAATTATCAACAACCCTAACCACATGCCACCTACCATGCCTACAGCTCTAGTTTCTCACCTTTGGGGGTGGTGATAGTAGAGACCATGGGTACAGACACCAGTGCTCGAGTCTGGGTCGGGTTCCTATTATTCCCTCCTGACCAGTAAGGGGGCCTCCCTACAACAGGACCTGCATCAAGTCCAGGCAGCTCAGGGTTGTAACCATCCTGATCAAACGGCTCTCCTGAAAAAAGGGGTTAGATTTAAGCCTAGACATTTAGGATACAGCACGAAGGACTTTGGTACTGTAGTACTTAAGTACTGTAGACTCTGACCTGGTAGCAATTCTACAGGTAGAGATCTTAACCAGAGCCTTTGTCAACGGATTCTGATCAGGATGCTATTAAATGTAATTGGTATAAATTTCTATTCATTTGTCTAAAGTAACATGACTCAAAGTTTAAATGTTCTGCCTTTTAAATTATATTATAAATCTCAACAAATATATGACTTTACAAATTCCAATCAGTATCTCTGCCAGTAAAATCACCAACTCTAGTTTCTATTAAGTTACAGAGACTCTACCAAAGATCAGAGCCTCTATCCTGACATACATGTATACACTCAAATGAACGATGTGTTGTTTAATAATGTACAGGTAGCAACTTGGCAAAGCTGAAGGTGGCATTTTGATATCGAAGTACTAAGCTAAATAGAATGATAAGATGACTATACATGTATAATAGGACAACTACACTCCACAATAAATCATGCTGCTTTAGAGGTTTTTGCTGAGCGTTTTTTTTTCCAGGTTTACGTGTGAAATAACATGAATGGGACATACATTTTTTATAAAACCTTTGTGCACAGATACCCCATGTTCCTTGCACAACAAATATCGTCTAGACATACACATTTAGATGGAAGCAATACAAGTACATTTAGTGCAGAATTGTTCAATAATGTGCTCTGTATAATAAGTTCTACTTGCTTTTTGGTGGTGGGGCTGGAAGTGTCATTCTGATATCTGAATAAGCAAAGTAGAATAATATAATGTTGTATTGTATATATTAGTACTCAAAAATGATGAGCAAATTTTGTTTGGAAGGCAAATGTCATAACTAGTTCTAAGGTGAAACGAATGCAAGGCATGGTTTAGTGATATCAACTATAGAATGTCTACTTGCGTTTTGGTGGCATGATTGTCATTCTGATGTCTGAAGGAATGTGGAGAAACAAATGTACAAGAGCCTGTATCAATCTCCAGACATGCACAAATTGCATACAGCATTTGGACATGGACATATCATGTTTTAACTTCTGAAGACCAACAGAAGTACTTATTACAATCTGACCATGTTTTTTTCTAGATTTTTTGAGATTTTGGGGATTTCAAAAAGAACACATCACATTCCTATGTTAAACTTGGAAAGATCCAGTGCTACAAATTTAACCTGTACCAAAGAAAAGTGTAAAATGAATTTTGTATAACAATTTTAAAACTCCAAGAAACAAGAGACAAAATTTTACTCCCTTCAAAAGTAATCAGTAAAAATTGCTCATATTTCATTCAAAGTCATAATTGAAAAACACTATGGAAGACGATTTGATAAACCAAATTCTTGTACCTAGTTCCTTCCAGACTTTCATAATCGTCTTATATACAGAGACATATAAAAACCCTCACCTTGTGGATATCTGGGAGGAGGGGGTGGTCCGCCACGGGGTACAGGGGGGTGTGGTGGTGCTGTCCCTGGGGGTGGGGTCGCTCTCCTGGGTGGAGGGGGGCCCGGAGGAGGCCTGGGGGGTGCCAGTCCTAAAACATGCAAACGTCACAATTACAAACCAAAAATCTTCAACAAAGGAAAACAGATTTATGCCTCTGCAAAATATTAATCTTTTTTCAAATTATGATACCCAGCCAGCAGCTTCTGGGACCTAACTTCCTGTGTCTGACCTTTTTCGATCATCACTTCCTTCCAACTTGACCAGAACTTTAGGTCAATCTGTGGTAGCCACTCCCTATGCTTCCTGTCACTCTACTGCATGCAAATACCTATGCACAATAGCAACCACACAGACAAACATACCCAAAACAATACTTCTGCACAGTGCACACTGAGGTAAAAAATACTTCAGTGCATAACACTTAGCAGAGACTTTTTCCTGACATCATTTGGCATATCCATGCTTCTCTATCAAAAATTACAACATCTGTGAACACTTCATAATCGTATTTCTACCAAGAAAAATAATAACTCACCTGGTCCAGGTGGTGGAGGTCTGGGCCCCCCCTCCCCTGTAGCTGGAGGGGGTTGTGACATGGGGGGCCTGGGGGGTCGTGGCCCTCTTGGGCCCATGGGTGCACGTGGCCTTGGGCCCATGTTAGGGGGTCCTGTTGGAAAAGTCAGATCTTACTGATATTTCAGTTGCTATTATTCACTACCTGAGACAAAACACAATGTCAGTTTTACCTTTTCTAAATTCCACGTTTTACCTTTTCTAAATTCATGTTGCTCATAAGTACATGTGTCTGAAAAACACAGTACAAAATGTATGGCAATACAAAGACAAAATGACAATCAACTGGGAAGATTAGAGAAGTTGCCTTTACCAAAGAACAATCTATAATTTATTTATGCCAAGTGAGCAGAAAACCATTCTCTGTATTATCTATCTGCTTCTAAGTTAAGGTTAGTCATCAAAGACAAAATGACAAGTTTGTTGCTTGTACCTTGCTGTGGAGGTGGTGGTGGCCCTCCTGCACTGAACGGAGGTGCCTGTGACATAGGGGGCCTTGGAGGCCCTATAGGCGGCATGCCCTGCTGCTGACCGTTGCTGGCAGGTGGGAAAGCCAGCATACCAGGCAGACTGCTGTCTTCAACCACTACTGGGTCAGGGCCGTGGTCAAACGGGCACAACTCTCCCCGCATGCAGAAACCCTTTTCTGTGACAACACAACAACCTTTCTCTCAGACAACACTACTCAAAAACAAACAAAAAATTTACAGAGCAGAACCTACGGTAGGCCTCTTCTACTTTTAGAATTATCCTGCATTTTAATTTGAAGGCTAGCTTTACAAAATATCTGCTGACAAGTTAGAGGCTTCAACCCAGGTGCATGAATTGTGCAATGTTGTATAAACTTTAACACATGGTAAATTCTTCTAGATGTATTGGCAGGGATTACAAAGAATGACAAGCCCAAATACGTTTTGTAAATAGAAAGGTAAAATTTGCAAAGCAAATGCATAATGTTTACCTTCATATGGTCTAGCCTTGGAAACTACTGTTCTGTTTATTGTGCAAACATATTCATATAATTTACATGGTGACCAGCCCCTCTAACTCCGTCCTGCAACTTTGCTATATAATGTAATCCAACACCACAGGGTTTCTGCTACAGCACCAGTTACTGTGGTGACAGCTGTCTGGTCCAGGTCATTGACTTTTTGGGGTTTGGAGTAGAAGAAACAGCAAAAACAACGTTTTGCAAACTTAAGGTAAACATTAAACAAAGTTCTTTACCATCATAGTCCCTGCACCTCTGCGGCCGGGGGGGTCCCCCTCTGCCCCGCCCCCCTCGGAACCCACCACGACCTCTGTCGTTCCCGCGGAAGTTCCCGCGCCCTCCCTGGGACATCCAGGGCTGGTCGTTGGAGACGACGGTTATGGTGCTGCTGAGGGAGGGGGTGGTGTACGTGGGGGGAGGGGCGTTCACACCGTCAGGAGAGTTCCCAGCAGCCGACTCTCCAGGGGCAGAACTGGAGTCATCCTTGTGAGGTCTTCTGTCTGGAGACGTGTAATTTCTTCTCTCTAAATGTAAAACAACAGGCTTAATGACTCACAGAGATTCTGACTGCAAACATATGGAGATGCATGACACTCATCACAGGGCTAAAACTAAGAACCTTTGTCTGGTTCAATTTCCCTTCAAAAATGACAGGGCACAAAATACCACCTGCATAATACAAGGATAGTGCAGGTAAAATTGGTGCTGTCCAGGTATTTCTAATGCCTACCAACCTGTACCTAACCTGCACT